GCATGATGGCGAAGATTTCCCGGAGGTCGTCAGCATGGCTGGAAGATTGCTTGCTCTTGACGATCATGTCGTCGACATAGGCCTCCATGGTGCGCCCTAGGACGGTTTGAAAGACCCGGGCCACCATCCGGGTGTAAGTGGCCCCCGAGTTCTTTAGGCCGAAGGCCATCACTAGGTAGCAGAAGATGCCCTCGGGAGTCATGAAGGCAGTTTTTTCGGCGTCCTCCTCGTGCATGAATATTTGATGGTACCCTCGGAAGGCATCGAGGAAGGACATGATTTCACACCCCGCGGTCTCATCCACCAATTGATCAATGTTTGGTAGAGGGAATGGATCCATGGGGCATGCTTTGTTGAGATCGGTGTAGTCCACGCACATGCGGAAGGTAGGGGGCTTCTGGGCGAGGACTACATTTGCTAGCCATGAGGGGTATTTCACCTCCTTGATGTGCTTAATGGAGAGGAGCATGGCGACCTCCTTCTTCACAAATTCCCTTCTCTCGGCGGAGAGGGGTCTTCTTCGTTGTTGCACTGCCTTTGCCGAAGGGTCCACCGAGAGGCGGTGGGTGATGACCCTTCGGCTGATTCCCGGCATGTCCTCTGGCCCCCATGCAAAGACAGTGGAGTAGGCGCGGAGGGCGTCGGTGATGCCGGTCTTCAAATCTTCAGGGAGCTGGGCTCCAATCTTCACGACTCTCTCCGGCTGGGCCGGATCGAGCGCAAAGTCTTCTACGTCCTCGGCCGGTTCAGCCCTCGGCCTTCTTTCCTCTTGGTCGACGGCTCCGGTGATGGTGTCAACACGGAATTCCGTCTTGCTGACCTTCTTAGTGACCTGAAGATAGCAGGCGCGGGCAATTTTTTGGTTCCCCCAGGAGTAGCCAATGCCCCCCTCGGCGGGAAACTTGAGGCAGAGATGCCTCATGGAGATGATGGCTTCGAGGTCCTCGAGGGCTGGCCGGCCGAGGATGATGTTGTGAGCGCAGTCAATGTTGACGACGACGAACTCCACTTCGAGCTGGGCTCTATGGAGCCCGTCGCCGAAGATCACCGGGAGGGTTATTACCCCCTCGGAATCAATAGTATCGCCAGTGAAGCCGGCAAGAGGGGTCTTAATGGGCCGAAGGGACCCCCTCTCCAGATGCACCTCTCTGAAGGTGCTGAGGTACATTACATTGACGGAGCTGCCCGTGTCAATGTAAGTTCGGTGAATAATGGTGTCGTTTATCTCCGTCCGAATCACCAAGGCATCCCTGTGAGGAGAAGAAGTAGGAGGGAGATCTGCGTTGGTGAAGGTGATGGGTTCCTCCCTCAGTCGCTTTACCGGGGGCATATGAGTGACTTCCCCCACGTAAAGCGATTGAGCCCACTTCTTTCGTTGGCTGGTGGAATCGCCCCCTGTATTGCCACCGGTGATCATGAGGATGTGACGTTTTTTCTCCTGGTAGTGGGGGTACTCCTCCTCCTCTTCTTCCAAGTTCCCAATCTCCCTTTTCTTGCCGAGGGGGATGGTATTCGGGTTTATCCAGGCATTTACCTTCGTATGGTGCCCTCGGGGAGGCCCCTGATGAGAAGGTCCCTCCTGCCGAGGGCTCTGGACAAACTGGGACAAGTGCCCTGCTTGTATTAACCTCTCGATGGCCGTCTTTAGCTGATGGCAGTCATCGGTCCTGTGCCCCTGGTGCCGATGGAAGCGACAGTAGGGGAACTGAGGGTTGATAGCGTGTACCTCCGGGGGTGCGCGAGAGTCGCGCTCAACGAGGCCCCTCTCCTCGGCAAAATCGAGGATGATGCTGACGGGGTGCGTCAATGGCGTCCGAGGGCGGTCCAGGAGAATGGGCTGGGCCCAAGTCTTAGGGTTGCTCTTATAACCTCCCCCGGGCTTGGCTTGGCCTTGCCGAGGGCGGTCGTCAGAGGGTACCGAAGCCTTGGGGTGATTTGGAGGAGCCCCCGGCCCTCGGTTATGTTTGTTGTCAGCCCTCGGGGGCTGCTGGTCCGGATGCTGGTGATACTTCTCCACCTCCTCGGCCTCAGCATACCGGTCCCCCCGCTGCAAGGCCCTTATGTAGTCGCGGGGGGGTTCAATGATGAGGCTCCTTGAAAAGTTGCCGGTGCGGAGGACGGTTTGTAGGAGGGCCAGGAGGGTCCCGTCATCAGCACCGTCGACCTTGTCGGCCTCCGTCCTCCAGCGCTCCAGGAAATCCCGAAGGGTCTCGTCCTTCTTCTGGCGTATTGTTAGGAGGTGGGAGAAGTGCTTCCTTGTGCGGCGCCTCCCGGCGAATTGTGTCAAGAATCGTTGGGCGAGTTCTTGCCACGAATCAATGCAGCACTCGGGCAGCCTGTTGAACCAATCGTATGCTGGTCCCTCTAAGGTGGAGAGGAACCATCGACACAAATATTCGTCTGATGCCCTCACCATCATCATGCTGTTCTGGTATTTGCTGTAGTGTTCCTGGAGGTCCGTTTTCCCGTTGTAGGGCTGCATGTGTTGCCCTCGGTATTTTTCCGGGATCCGGGCCGCCAATACCCTTGGGGTAAATGGCGTCCGAGTCCGGAGCTGGATGACGGGTTCCCCGGAGCCCTCGGCCACCTTCTTCTGTAACTCCTCCATTTTGGCCATCATGGCCTCGTATTTGAGATCTGAATGAGGGGTGGAGGTGGTGGCGTGAGCTTTGTTGGACTCCATCTCGTCAAGTCGGCGTTGGAGGGCCGCAATAATCTCGTCCCGGGGATCCTTCAGGAGGGTTTCCGCCCCCTGCGAACGAACCCGGGCCGAGTGGGCCTGGTTGATTTGGTGCCGGGCATCATCGGCATGAAGGGGTGCCTTGCCTTTGTCCCGAGGGGGACGCTCCTCGTCTGCCCTCGAAACAGATCCCCCGCTTTCCTGGGGCCTTTGGAGTGCTTTCCCCCCGAGGCGGTCTTGGACCCCTCGGCGGTCTAGCCCTCCTCCGAGCCGGTTGAGGGCGGAAGTACGGGGCCTTTCCCTGTTGTCATTATGGCGGTCCCGGGACTGGACTTCCTGGGAGGACGTATCTTGGGCCACCACCCCTTCGTCGTTTCTCACCCGAGGGGTGGGATTTCCGAAGGGGTGTGGCAGGGGGGGAAGTATGATATTTTCCCCGATCTGAGGGTGAGCTGGAGCCAGGGTGCCGAAGGCACCCGGGTTCTGGGTGAGCGTCTGGATGAAGGCGGAGAGCGCCGATTGCACGTCGATGGTGAGAACCGGAGGGCTGACTTGGTCATCGCTCCGGTTTTTCTTCTTGGCCTCGATGCCGAGGCGGGCATCGGGGGCATTTTGTTGGATCTGAAGGCGTAGGTCGACAGCCGCCTGTTCCAGTCCAACGATGACATCGCCCTCGGGAGCCCTGTGAGAGGCTTCGGGGGCGTTGACGTCGCCAAGGGCCAGGTTCTTGTCTTCTACGTTCTTTGAGTTGGCACGTGTTGTCCTCACCATTTTGATAGAGGGCTAGTGTTTTGTGTTTGGTCGAGAGGGAGGGTTTCTTACTCGATTGTTCAACCTCTCAACGAGAGCACCAAATGATGGATAGTCTACCCGGGGGTATATATCCGAAGGGTTATTACAGGGAGTAATTTAGAGAGAAGTCAGAGCAAGTAAATAAAAGTAGAGAGAGAGAATGTATTATAAATGCGGAGTGTTTTCAGCGTGTTATCACTTGGTTACAAATGGGGAAAAGGGGTGCTATTTATAGTAGCAATAAATGCCGTGCAGGGACACGTGTCAAGCGCTCATTGGCCGAGGGGTCACCTCAACTGGTTGGCGCTGGCAGCCGCATGTGGCCGCATTTAATGCGGCTGTTGGATGGGACGTCTGTGCGGGGTACGGTGATCTGTACGCATGTGAGGCGGATATCTTGTCGAGTGAGATGCCTTCGGCCATAGAGCAGTAGCCGAGGGCTCTTCCACCCGATGGCACCCTGGTGCCGAGGGCACCCTGGTGCCGAGGGCTCACAGTGCCGAAGGCTACTGTTTTCGCCGTTTTCTCCCAGTTTCTTAGTTTGCTTGAGAAACCCGTTCTGTGAGAATTTAGAGCCTTCGGCCGGGGGGCGAAGGCACCCCTGGCGCGTAGTGCGGGCTGCTTGGTACTCTGGGCGCTGTGATTTGGGCCTGTTGGGCTTTTTGGGCCTTTGCTGGAGTAGTAGGAGTCTGTGGGCCGGGGGTTCCCGGGCCATATACTCCATCAAGGAGGAAGAACAGGATCAAGTCATTGAAGAAGATGACAGAAGGAAGCGGAAGATTCACATGGATTTAAAAAAAAATTAAACCACCTCAAAACCCAAGTCAGCGTGTAACCAGCAAACTTGTTACTAACCGGCTAAAAAGCTGAATTGGATGTACTTTAATAGTTCGAGGGTTTGATTGGATGATTTTTAAGTACGAAGGCTTAATTGCTGTTTTCGATATAGTACATAGGCTTATTTGATAGTTTTCCCATGAACTTATTATTATGTATGTCTATCTTCTAGTTATTATGCAAGTGATCAACTAACTCCTAGTGAAAATTAATTGATTCAATGTACGTACAGAATGCTACAGCGGATCAAGGAAAGGGAAGACCACAGAGAGGAGTGCAAATGTGATTGTTTTCGTGAGTGTTCAATTTTGTAATTTTGTTCCAAATAGAAAGTAACACTCTGCCACATCAATTATTTGGATACAGCAAATTTGTCTTTCAAGTTATCCCACTATTCCCTTGTCAAATAGTATTAGCATGCATTAAGATACTCTGTCCAGTTACTATTATTGCCCTTTATCTCATCTTGTTTGTATATATTTCATACTCAGTAAATGTAAAATTATATCTTGTAAAATCTCCTGAACAGATTAGATCTATCTCTTACATTTAATTCTCAGACTCATTTTCGATTGTTTCTAGAATTTGCAACACGAAAGTCAATGTGTGTTGCATATTATAATTCTTATTGTACATTGGCATTAACAGAAAGGAAAAAAGAAACCATACAACTACACAAGTGATATAGGAACAGAATGGTTTTTTAGGGTAAGGAAAACTAGTTGATGAACAGTGAGAGAAAATGGTGTTACAAAAGAGAAGCAGGGTTGAGCAAACTAAAGTAAGTTACCCAAACGTAGACAAAGTAAAGCAAGAAACTAACAAAACTCCAGCTGGCATCCTTATAGAAGATATATGGGAAAAGGTCCAAAAATGACACTGACGGTTTTAATGAAGTTCGGATTGGAGCCTAAAGTTTTAAGTAGACCAAATAAACACAAATTTAAACTTTTTGAATCCATTTCAGCCACCCTTTAACATCCCCGTTAGATGACGCTTCTCTATCGTTAAACAACACAGCCCCAATCTATGAAAACTAAGTTTGTGTAGAGAATTGGAAGCCTTCTGTACGTTCGAACGGCGAACTAGGACCAAATTAAGGAGGGGGTCTACGGTAGCCTTCTGTTTGCCGGAGGATGAAGAATCATAGGGCTGCTGTTGAGATCAATTTCTGACGATGGTCTGCGGCAATTTTCTTCCGGTGATGAGCGCAGAGAGATGTTGGTGTTATCGGCGGGTGTTGATGTTCGTTTGCTGCGTCAGATCCCAAGGCTACCGGTTCATTGTGAAGAATAGTGGGCCGTTGTCCCTGTTTCTTTGCCGGACTGATTGTGCCGTTTGTTGGAGAGAAAGAAATATGCGGTTGAAATTCAGGAGTCTCCGTTGCCGGTGCTCGTTCGCCAGAGGATAAAGCTGATCAGTGAGCTGCTTCCGAAGCTGTACATCACTGGTCCTGTCGCCTGTCGGAAACGGCGTGGGAGAAGATGCTGGTGCTGACTTTTTGTTGCTGGTGCCATTTGCTGGAGCTGCTCGTTCGCTGGTTCAGTATCAAAGGCTGAGGCGTTGCTGATTCCATTGGATGCTGAACTTGATATCGATTTTCTCTGGCCAGTTTTGCTTTGTTGAGCAGCGAGCAGAGGTTTCAAGGAAGGTAGCCATCGATTTCTGATCTCCTGTTACCCATGTGCCCAAGAAGAAGGAGCTCGATCTATCATTTTTGCTGCTGATTTGATTTGAAGTAGTGAGCCGGTGTTTCTGTTCACCGCAGAAGATGTGTGCCGTTAGCTGCACTAGGGAGAAGAAGAGCTGAATCGACCGGTTCTGATTTCTGTTGGGAGGAATGGGAGCAAGCGAGGCGAAGTCCATAGCTAATCTCTTCCGGCGCTGCTTTCTAGCGGCATCAATCGGAACAAAATAATGGAGCAGTTAAGGGTGACTTACATGGATTCAAAAAGTTTAAATTTGGGTTTATTTGGTCTTCTTAAAACTTTAGTGTCCAATCCGAACTTCATTAAAAGCCTTAGTATCATTTTCGGACCTTTTCCCAAGATATATTCCATAGCTTTCATTTGTTTTATTTCCCAAACAAAAAAAAAATAGAAATCTTCCAAGGTGAACAAGGCATATCAGAAACCTAGTTCTCAGTGGTTTTTTACACAATGGACACAATTTGGAAATTCATTATGCTTTATATAGTCCTAAAGGGAAGCAGAAAGAAAACCAACAACAGTGGGTACTGACATTAACTCATTTCAATAACATCGTAAATGAGAAGGAAACATAAGACCATTTTCAGGCTGAGACCTCACTTACTATTTACTTCAGATGGTGTCTTAGCAGTGATGGACAGTGCATGAAGTCCACCCTTCATCTCCTCCTGCAACAAATCATAAATCAATCTATGCCTCTTAATCAAACTCTTCCCCTCAAACTTCTCAGAAATCACTCTGACATTAAAGTGTGTCTCTCCATGGGTTCTTCCCCTAATTCCAGCATGGCCAGCATGCTGATATGATACATCTTCGACGTGCAAATCACAAGGGCTAAGCTCCATCTCCAGTGTATCCCTTATTCTGATCCCCCGACTTCCCAAAACAACACTATCACGTGATACTTCTTTGTCATCACTGCCACCAGTCTCTTCAGAATTGACTCCAGTCTTCGCATCCACATTCCCATAATCACTCACTCCCAAATTCAAGTTCTCAGCTGGCTTACTGGCACCCTCATCGTGGCTTGAACTTCCCTTATTTTCAGATTCCACACATATTTGAGCCTTCTTCTGCATCAACTTCAGCATGTTTAATAACCCATTGTTCCTAGACGGTGTTAAACTTTGTTGCAGTCCAAGAAGTACTGCAAAATCAGGTGATACCCTCACAATCTCATCAACAGAGCATCCAGAAAGTCCTTGAACCAGCAATGCTGCAAGGCCCTTAGTTAGCACGGAGTCAGAATCAGCCTCAAAGATGACATTTTTATTTTCATCAAGGAATGCCCTGATCCAGACCTGTGAAACACACCCCTGAACCTTATTCTCAGCAGTCTTGTACTGAGCATCCAAAGGTTTCAAATTCTTCCCGTAAAACAAAAGTTGTTCGTACTTGGCCTTGGGCTGCTCTACTTCTTGGAAAAGCCTGACTATCTCTTGAAGCTTTAGGGGCAAGTCTTCAATGGCTTGCAAAGATCCGGAAGATGATTGCAATGAAGATGTGGGTGCCATTGAGGAAATTGGTCTTGTTGGAACTTTATTAAAAGCAATAGGCTTGACAAAAACAAGCTTTCCAAAGGCAGCACTTGAGGTTTGGAAGCCAACAACTTTCAGAAGTGGCTTGCAAAAGAGTTGGTTTGGGATTATGGTGGCAAAAGACATGCGCAAATGATGAGACGGAACAAACCTGAGTTTGTACAGGAGGTGTGATAGTTTAGAAGGATTCTGGATTGAGCTATAGGGACAACTCTTTTGATAGCAAACAGCAGAGCCAAGAAGAGAACGTTCAACTGCCGATGCTTTTACTTTCATACCCCAAATATCTGTCAGCAACAATACTTATTAAATTTTAATTACAACAACAACATTAAGTCTTATTCCCAAAAGATTTTGGGGTCGGCACTTATTAAATTTTAACTAAATAAATAAAATTTAATTATAACTCAAATATTTTACCCAACAAATTACAATACTAATATACAATCCAAATTGAATTATTAAACAGAAAAATCACTAATCACTTATAATTCAATAAGTTAACAATTATGAACTAATCAACTAAATCGCTACTCAAATCAATTAATTAAGAACTCAATTAACAAGTGCGGAACAAATTAACGGGCAACAATCAACAACAATGATTTATGAGTATGAACTAATCAATACAACAATCAACTAATAAATAATCATTTATCAACATTCAACACCTATAAACTAATGAACTAATCAAATAATTCCAAAAATAAATAAAAAGACTAAAAGAATTAAAAGGAGAGTGTCGTACCAGAAGGTGAGAACGGAGGAAAGGGCTTAGGGAGTTGTCGAGTTAGGGCCAAAGGGGCTGGGCGCCTGGGCAGTGGGAAAAATTGCAGCTTTGTCGATCGACGATCGTCTCTGGTGGACTCCTCTGTAGCGTTTGGTGTTGAGAAGAGAAGTTCTCAAATCTGAGTTATCACTCTTAGGCCTGAGATCCGTTCTCTTCTTACTCAAAATCGGTGGAACACTTACAAAAAATCTCACTAATGAAATTGGTTCAGTTCTTAGGTAAAAAATCAAGAACCGTTATGGAACCGAACCAATACTAAACGGTTCGGTTCTTACTTTTATCGGTTCTTACTTTTATCGGTTCTTCGAATAATTTTTTTCCTCATCTAATAAATGAGCATATTATTTGCTTTCACATAACAATGTAAAAAATATCAAACACAACTATTAAAATTTTATTTAAAGTTCTAATAACTTCAAACATCACAGCTCAAACTTAACTAAGTCAACACTTAATAGAATAAAAGAAAGTTTCAATTTTCATTTAATAAGTAGAAGATAGAAATCTTAGTTATGTGGTAACAATGAAGGTTGTTCATCATCACAGTTGCAAGATATGGTTCACTTCAAGTTTTTCAAAACAAAAAAAAAATGCATTGAATTTACATGTATAGTTATAGAAGATCACTACGGTCTATTTGCTAGTAATACAATTTACAATAAATCTAATAGTTACGAATATCATGAAGATAGTAAAGTAAAATATATGCAATCAACTACAAGTTATTTGAGTTATTTATTATTTATAAAATATATGTGATTTAACAAAACTTGATTTTGTAAAAGTGAGCTTAACGTATTCAATCTCGTGTGCAATATTGACTACTTTTGTTTTTGTTGGTTAAATTAGAATTGTTGGCTAAATATCACTACTACTATTACTATTTTTAATTTTATTTTTTAATAAGGTTCCTTAACGGTTTCGTGCACACATTTTTTATAAGAACCAGGAACCGAATCATTAGTAACAACTAGGAACCGAACCGTTAACAACTAATATCACATTTGTAGGAACCGAACCGAAACGAGGCGGATTATAACGGTTCGATTCCAACCGGTTCTACGATTCCTGAATCCAAAATCCCACCCCTGATCGCTCTGTCTCTTTTCCTAATTTAGGCTAATGTTACTCGAATAAATTCCACTTTAGGCCGTTCTACGCGCACCCCATCTAATACTTGGCCCACCCACTTTTCAACACCGGCTGACAATTTTATCCTTTGTTTTAATTTTTTGTTGGGTCATTCAGTTCTATCACTTTTTTTTCGCACCAACGATGCTTGGATGCCAAGCTTATTTCTCTTTTTAGTTGATCTCTAATTTATGATTCTTTACCTGCAAAAAAATGGTATTCCGTATGGTTTTTCTATGTTTTGATTATCTCATTTTACTATTATAGTTAGTTTTTTCTTGCTTATTTTATACTCTAAATTTAAACTAATTTGAATACTTAGTTTTTATCAGGTTGCCAAAAACATATTTTGATCATTTTTTAAAAATATGTCTTTCAAAAATAAATCATTTTTTAAAATATATTTATGGCTTGTGTATGACTTACAAAAAGCAATAATACACTAAGAACTCGTTTGGTAACACTTTTTTCGGCTTATCAGACTTATCAGTCAGTTTTTTATCAAACACCTATTTTTTGATTTCACGCGTTGAATTGTGTAATAATAAGAAAAAGTATGACTGTAATTACTTTTCTGGTTGTATTGGCTAAAGTTACTGTAGAGAATTATTTTAGCTATTTTTCATATAATTTTTATTTTGTTTATTAATAACAAATATTATAAATATATTTTTTTCACCGCTCACAATAACATGTTTCACGGCGACATGACACCGGTGGCAATGGCGACACTCATGGCGATAACAATGACACTGATGGTCATTGATAATGAATTAAAAATCAGACAATGACATAATATCAATTTGATAATAGTAATACATTTAAGGTAATTGTGATCCAAATGTAAAACCCACTAATGCATTTTTTAGATATAATTTTTATTTTTAAACTTTAAAATAGATTTATGGTTTTTAATGATTTAATCTTGATATATATTGATCATCAAAAGCTGGAATTTTCCGAATAAGAGTAAATAATATACCGTTACTTATTTAATAATAACACATAATTTAAAATTTATTTAATAATTTTTTTGAAAAGGGTTAGATTTTTTAAAACATTACCCTTTTTAAAAAAATTGTTTGGGGTATCTTTGGGGGTCCGTATTTTGAGAGCGGCTGTTTTAAAAATTGTTTATTCTCAAAATGTTTTAGAGTAACACGTGGGTCTGTGGGGAGCAGCTGTTTTAATAGACATTACAAAGTATGTAGTATAAGGAATTAAAAAGGGCAAATGTGTCCTATGAGGGTTAGATTAAGCAATTTTGGAGGTGCGCCAAGCAACTCCCTTCCACTTTTGGTCCTACGAGTTTGATATCAATTCCACATTTAGTCTACGTCTTTCACTTTGTCCACCTTCGATACACGACTATTGTGTTTTCGCCCATATATGCTTGGCGAGAAGGATCACAACTGGTCAAAAATCGCCGGAGAAGGATCACAACTGGTCAATAATCATTAGTCAAGTATCAAAAGTGGACAAAGTGAAAGACGTGGATTAAATGTGAAATTGACATAAAATTCGTATGATCAAAAGTGGAATAAATTCATTGTTACTCCGTCATTTCCGATTCTTGGGCTGTTGGGCCGCATAAATTTTTGGATTAGGTCTGAAAAAAGCCTACTAACACCTACGGTTAAAGGATAAAAATTGGGCCTAAAATTTCTCCCACCTACGGCCCGCCCCTGCTGCCTCCAAAGTCGCCCATTGGGTGAATACATAGCTCCACTGGGGTGATAACGGTTTAACTTCTCGAGACTCTGTGGGAGACAGAGAGTGAGATAGAAACATAAATATTGGCGAGTTTCATAAAAGAATAAAAAGACTTGATATTTTTCATAATCCATGTGTTTAAGCACAAAAATGTGTCACGGTGGGAAAAACTGAATCAAAAAATGGAAATCGACCCTGTCATGATTCAAAAGATTTTGTCAGTCTGGGTTCTTTTCTTCTTAAACGGTCCGAATAAAAATACCATGATCAGATTTGAAAATTCCGAATCGCTGATGATCCCTTACATCTATAACCCGTTTGGACTGATAAAATCTAAATATAATTACCTTTAATATAATATCAATATGTTATACCAATAATATTTAGAATTAATTTCTAATATATGGCTAAAATAATCATGTTGGATGAAAAATGACTTAATAACTTTTAGTGATTACAATGATGTTCAATTTGTATATCGTTATGACCATAAAAATATATTCATAGTAACTTTAGTCGCACTTTTATCCATAAGTTTAATTTGATAATATTTTTGGAAATACCTTTATTTTTTATTTATATGTAGCTTGAACCAAATATTCAGAGAAACTATTTTGTTTGGGTATGAATTGTTGGTGATATTGGGAACCAAATCACTAATATTTGTGTCATTGTTTGTGATTTTTATTTCTGATCAATTTTATTTGAAAATAGGTTTTAATATACAAAAATAGTATCTTTCAATAATTTATTTAACTAACTTTCTGATTGAATTATTAGTCGAAATTTGGTGGACATAACCTACACTTCATTGAAAGCATTCTCAAAAAGTTTCATTAAAAAATTACTCCTAAAAGCACCTCAAATGGAAGTGGTTGGACAACGTTTCAGTTAGGAAATTCCTGACAGGAACATGTTTGTGTAGGGTTAAGATTATGTATAAAATATGTTTAAGGTACGTCTAGATTAGCCAAATCAAAAGTTGTCCATATATGATATATCATCCACCATAGGAGTCCATGCAGTGAGATACATTGAATTAAAAACGATTGTGCTACTATTATGCACGGTTAACACTTAATAGGTAAGGATACCATGGTAAATTAACATTAAAAATGTCAATTTAAAATATGAAATGAAATAGAACCCAATCCTATATTCCTATCATTTATGCTAACCTATCCTAATATTACAACCACCCAAGTATATGAAATTAAAATATGGAAGGTTGCAGAATTTGTACATATGAATATGCGTAAAACTTTCTTCATGCATGGCCTCTTTCGAAATTAATCACTTCCTAATTAATCATCCATTTTGAACAATGCATATTAAAGTTATGGAATGTGCATTAATGCATTATATATTGATAACATGTGCATAGTTGATATTAGAACTTCTAACATATTAAAGTAAGAAGTAAACAAAGACAGACAAAAGTAGGGATGGACCGAACCGGGCCAAACCAGCCCGTGAACCGGACCGGCCCGCTACTGTGCGGGCCCGGACCGGACCGGGACCGGATGGCCGGTTCTGGGCTTTTCGCCCGTGTGGGCGAGCCTGACTCAGGCCCTACTTTTGTTGAACCGGCCCGGGCGGTTCAGGCCGGGCCCAGTTCATTTTTTTGGTTTTTTCAATTTTTTTTCTTTTCCTTGGGTAGGGCTGGGTGTTTTGGGGAGGTTTGAGGGGTGGGGGTGAGGGGGGGGGGGTCGGGGGTTAATTAGATAGCAAAAAAAAAACAAATGCATAGACCCGGGCCGGTTCCGGGCCCAACAATCTGAAAAAAAAGCCCACCCGGCCCCGGCCCGGAACCGGAACCGGATCGGCCCGGGTCCATCTCTAAACAAAAGTGTCTGCATATTAAGATTACAAGATGTGCATATTAAAGTTTCTTGGATGTACATATTAAGATTACAGGATATTCATTATGTATTAGAACTACATAGTGCTAAAGTATATGATATACTTTAGCACTATGTAGTTGATGGAGTATATGGGTCTAGGCCCCATGACCCACATACTCAGAAGAACAAGAAAGTACAAGCCATCAAGTGGTGCCCTCGTCGGCCAAAGGACCCCTGTCGGCCGAAGAAGGACCAACTCACATTATGATCCTGAAGCCAGGGAACTTGGGTGCCCTCGTCGTTCGTGCCCTCGTGGGCCGTGCCCTCATCGGCCGCGCTCTCGTCGGCCACAGAAGCCTCACCGAACTGGATTTTACACTTAATCATTCCTACACACATTGTATTCGGCCCAATAGCGGTCCAGTTGTAAATCGGCCTCCCAAGCCCAAGGCTTGGGAGCCCAGCCCGTATTTTCCCTATAAATACTTCCTCTGGAGGTAGTTGTAGGGGTTCAC